CCGTGGGCCCGGCACGGTGGCAGGTGATGAGAGTCGTGTGGTGCTTGGAGGCCTTGAAGCGGTCCAGCTTGGCAGTCCACAGGCTGGGCTGGGCGGGGCGGGCAGCCGTCACGTGCAGCCCCTTCTTCACCTTGATCCTGGGGAGAGGAAGCAGGCCCAGTGTGTCGAGGCGGGTGCCAGACTATGGACCGAACGAGGAGCAACTCAAGGGGCTCCAGGCACCGGCCTCCTGTCTGGCCTCCCTGACTCCCGTCGGAACCTCCTGCTCACCATCCTCCCATCCACAAGGACCCCATCTCGATGCGCGTCATGCCACACAGCTCTCCCCAGCACCCAAAGACCCGCTGCCCCCAGCGTCAAGTCTAATCCCGGCATTGAGGCCCTCCAGGATCTGCTCTGTTTTCGTCTTGGCCTGTAACATCTCTGTCACCCTGCCCCAGCTGCACCGAAAGTTCTTCAGCCCATTTATGCCCGAGTCTTTGCTCAGGCGGTGCGTTCAGCCTTCTGCCTCTGTTCGTTCTTCAAGCCTCCAGCAACTCGAATAGTTTCCTTTAGGAAGCTCTTCCAGGAGCAGGATGGATTTCTCCCTTGCTCCGCCCCTAAGGTAGGCCCCCACCGCGTCTTGTGCCTCCACCAGAGCATATCCCCCAGCGCGTGCCGTACAGCTCCCTTCCCTACCCGTTGGTCCCCTTAGTGCCAGGTGGGGACCGGGCCTTGCTACTCTCTGTAGCTCCAGAGTGGAGACACAGGGCTTGCATATTTTTTAAGTGTCTACGAAAGATCTAACGAGTGTGCACGTGAGCACAGGACAGTGTGACAGACGGGGACGGGACAGGCACTTGGGAGACGCACAGGGACAGGACACACACAAACCCAAATATGAGAGAGAGGCACGTCATACTCTGCAAAGCCTCATCAGTGGAATTGGGGTGGGGGGGCTACTTTGGGGAACTTCCTGTAGAAGGGGACACAAAAAGGAGAGCCTTTCTGTGGGGGAGGAGCAGGCTCTGTCCAAAGGTGAGGGGCAGGCAGGAGAACATGCAGATGAATGTGACTGGGGCAAACATCCCATTAGAGCATTAACCACCCCCAGGCACCGCACTTTCCAGTTTCTAAGTTGTCTCCTGTTTTCCCTCCCTAAAGCCCTCACAGCTGCCCTGTGAAGAAGGCAACGTCAGCCCCACTGGACAAGGAGTCTCAAGGAGGTGACAGGGGAAGGGGAGCTTCCTATTCTGACTCTAAGTTCAGGGCTGTGCCCGCTGCTGGGTCCTGCCTGCTGCCAGGACAATCACGCCTCTTGGCCTGGAGGGGTTTTGGTGGGCTCGTGTTTGCAGAGATCAAGGGTTCCAGTAAGGACCCCAGAAGGAGAAGGCACCTGCCCTGTCTTCCTGCAGAGGCCCCTGCCTCCAGCCCACCCCAGGAGCCCCGTTCTCACCGCAGGGTCAGGACACTGGCTGTGAAGTTGTGCCGGAGCAGGAGGGTGGCACTGAAGAGCTGGCCGGGCCGCACGGGCACGTCGGGCACCCGCAGAGTCACCGCCTCATCCAGGGGCACCTCCTGGTACCGCGGGGGGTCCGCGGGGCGCAGCTCCACGCTGCCCACCGGAAGAGCCTGCTCCCTGGCGTCCTCCTCCCCGCCGGGGCCACAGCCCCCAGAGCCCTCAGCTGCTGGCTCCAGCGTGTAGGCCAGCTCGGCCCGCGTGCTGGAGCCCTGGGAGAACCAGTGGGAGGGAAACTCCAGCTCCACCACGCAGGCGCCTAGGGATGGCTGCAAACACACAACAGCCAACGGTTGGCATGGCGGGGGCGGGGGGGGGGGGGGGCGAGTCCCAGCATCCACGATAGGAGATGCACAGCTGGAGGGGTCCTCCTGCTGCAGGACCAGCAGCGGCCACAGTGACACAGCCAACCAGTCACGTGACTGGGGCCGTCTCGGAACTCATCCAAGAGCCACGCTTCTGCCTGTGGGAACAGCCTCATTCCAAAGTGAGCCAATCCCAATGCCTCCCCCCTAATTACGCCCTGGGACCACCCGAACTACACCCCAGCCTTCTAAGAATCCCAAAGCCCTCAAAATACCTCTTTCCAGTGGATCCCTGTGCTAGACCCCCAAAACAGTGGAAGTTGCCATTATAAAAGTGATATTAACAACAGTGTGAACGCTTGCTGGGTGATCACGCTGTGCCAGGCGATGGCGCTGGGCTAAAAGCTATTCTTGCGTTCATTTCATTCATTCTTTATTCCAGCTCCACACGAGGTAGGCATCGTTATTACTCCATTTTATAGATGGGGAAGCTGAGTCCCAAGAAAATTAAGTTACATGCCCAAAGGCACCACCAACGGACTGACTTCCTTAAGGGTCCCTAAACCACCCTCTCAAAGGGTCCCCATGAAAGCTAGCGGAGCAGGAAGGGAGTCAGGTGGTCTGTGACTCCCACACCAGCCGGGGGTGGTAAGCCCTCTCTTCCCTACCCCAGGGCCGTCCTCTGGTCGGCACAGCAGGCCGGGCCAGCTTAGGCAGGGCCCGCCCACTCACCTGGAAGTGGCAGGCTCGGTGAGCAGTGCCTGCAGAGTGAATGGCGTGGAGCCGGGCACAGGGCAGGCTGCCAGGCCCCGGCGGCCAATCCTGCCCTTTGAGGTGGAAGAGGACGCGGGCGTGGGGCTCTGCTGGGGTCACAGCTGCTTCCACTGACACAGCCCGCACATCCCACGGCACTGGCCGTTGGTGGGGCTCAGTGACCCGTGGAGGGACCACCTGGAGGGAGAATAAGGGTGTTCGACAAAGCAGGGGGTTGAGGGAAGCAAGATCTGGAAAGATGAGATGCCAGGCCTCCAGCCCCAGCTTGGCAGGAGAGGGCATTTGCAGGCCTCTGGATGATGGGGAGCACAGCTGGGGCTGGGGGGACTCCGGAGCCACATACAGCAGCCCTCAGCTCTGAATCCTTTTAGCCGGGGAGTCCCTGGTGCCGTCTCCTTACCTGCTGCGTCGCAAAGGGCGGGTAGGAGGCCCGGAGAAGTGGCTGGGCCCTGGGCCATGGCTGCAGGAGCAGGAAGGTCTCAGATCTGGAGCCCAGAGAGGAGTTGGCAGGTGGATAGCGGCCCACCTGCTGCACCCGGAAGTGCTCAGGGGCATCAAGGAGCTCTAGGGCCGCAGGCAGGTAGACAGGATCCAAGGGGTCCTGTTCACAGTCCACTGAGGAAGAAGGGATAGGGATGGTGACAGCTCCAGAGCTGGCAGGGTTGAACTGAGCTCCGTTCTGGGGCACAGTTGTCCCATTTCACAGATGAGGAAACTGGGGCTCAAAGAGCCTCACACAGGTAGCACGTGACAGGGCCAGGATTTGAAGGTATATCCCAGACAGGATGCCAGCTTCCAAACCATTCCTCCTTCTACCTTCCATAGACTCAGACCTTCCTCCCTTGAGCAGAACCTTCTCAGCATTTCGTCCTCATTCCTGCCCCCTTACCTACTTGCCTCTGATATCGAGGCATCTGTAGGGTACAGTTCTCCCTAGACAGGGCCTGTGCAGTAAAAGGTGGCGACAAGGTGGGCTTTGTAGAAGCAGAGATGCTGTCTGTCCCTGAGTCCTTGGCCAGACTTGTCTGGGCATCCACCCAGCCTTCCCCTCCATCATCACCATGGCAACCCTGCAAGGGTTGCCTCTGTACCCAGTACTGGGTACTGGAGTGCAGAAGTGGGATTGGGGGGGGGGGGGCATGAGCCTGGGGAGAGAGTCAAAATATTCAATGACTAGAGGGGCAAAGGACCCCGGAGACCATATTGGGTTTGTACCGACTATTAGTCAGCCCCAATAAGAATAAATGTTTTTGAACATTAACTACATGCAGACTACTATTTAAAACGTTTTACGTATATTAACTCTTCAGTTTGTGTACTAACTCTGAGACCCAAGCCCTGTCACTATTATTTCCACCTTACGGGTGTGGAAGATGAGGCTGAGGTCGAGGGACTTGCCTTGGGGTCACCAGGCTGGAGACAGGTGTTGCCGGGAGTCAGAGCTCAGGCATTACACCCAGAGGGATACCTCACCTCCGCTCCCTGTGCTGCTTGCAAGGGTGACAACTGCCGGCTGCGCTCCCTGGACTGTGGGTCTCTCCCTCCTCCCTCAGAGTCCGGGGTGAATGTTGCCTCCTCCTTTAAGGAAGCCCTTCTTGATTGCGGGACCTCTCACCAGTACCCTCAGTCTTTCCCCGGCTAGTCGCCTCATCTGAATTAGTTGTCTTCCTGTCTATTCACAGGGGGACTTGTTCTACTCATTCCAGAATCCCCCAAGTTGGGCAGTTCTCCCTGGAGATGATGCTCTGGGAGCCTGGAGGACTGCGTGTACATCTTAATTCTGACTCCGTGGAGCTTGGGTCCATCATTTAACATCTCAGAGACTGAGTTTCCTCACCTGTAGAATGAGCATTTAGTGACACCGTGAAGAGGGGAGGGCTTTGTAAAGTGCGGAGTGCTGACTGGGGGGAGAGGGGTTATTGCTACTGAATAATGGATGTGACAAGGCCTTCCTCATCTCTTAGAAGGGGTTATTAGGGCTCCTGCTGGGTCCCCTGGGGAGGGGAGCAGGTGGCTGAAAGCAGCCCCGGAGCCAGCTTCCCAGCTTCCTCGGAGCCAGCTTCCTCGGTGCCCCATCCTGGGCTTGAAAGATGGTTTCAACCTCTCTCAAGACCCTCCCCACCAAGGAGCGTGTGTCTGAGAGGCTCCAGCCATCCTGCCCCCAAGTGTAACAGGTAAGTGACTAGGGCTTCCCGGGGGGCAGCCCCTGACCTCCGGTCCTCCTCCTATTTCACTGCCAGGATAATTATAAGATGCTATGTGGCCTGCCTCCCACGGACTTCCAGCACCCAGAGCTCAGCTCTCACGGGGAGGGTGAGGGGGGTAGAGGATGCCTCACTATCCCTCCCCCACCCCCACTCTTCTGTGGTGTCATCCACCTAGCAGCCACAGCCCTGCCAAGGGCAGTCTGACCCCCCACCCCCACCCCGGGCACAGGAGAGTCGCTGCTCCTTCCTCCAGTGATAGGGATCGCCGCAGGATTCAGGAAGGCACGGATGGGGCAATCTCTGGAGACTCCAAGGTCAGCTTGCTGTTTGGGGCAAGGGGAGGGCGGCTGCGCACCTCGCAGGTCCCAGGCATAGGGGCTGCTCCCCGTTCCCGTGGGGGCTGGGTTGGTGGTGGGGGGAGGAGGGTAGGAGCCACTGGGGTGCAGCCGTGGGCACCGCAGATTAGGGAGCCGGCGCGCCTGGGTCAGGGGCAGCCGGGTTAAAAGCCCGGGCGGCAGGGGAGCTCGCGGAAGGTGCGGGGACCCGGCGGGGGTGGGAGGGCTGACGGTGAGCGCCCGGGGCCCGGCCGATCCCGGGTCAGGAAGAGTTGCCGGGTTCCGCGAGTGCGGGAAGCCACAGAGGAGCGCGGCTGGGGGGCAAGATCCTGGGGGTGAGACCTCCAGCCCTCAGGGCACAATGTGGGGCGACCCCGCTCGGGGCTCAGTCCGGGAACCCGCAGCTCCGGGCTCGCCGCATCCCTCCAGTCCGGCCCCGGCCGCCCCTCGCCCCGCCCCTCCCCTCCCGCTGACCTCTCACGACGTCCAGGGCCAGGGCCACCAGGAGGCAGAGCCAGGGGCCGCCGGGCCCCCGGGGAGCAGCTGCCGCGCGCCCCGCCATCCCGGCGCACATCCGTCCCGTGGAGGGCGGGGACTAGGCGGGCGACTCAGGTGGCCCCTGCCCGCCCGGCATCTCCCGCGCCCGCTCCGCGCCGCCCCGACCCGGCCGGCTGGGTCCCCGCCGCCGCCCGCCCTGCTGCTCCAGCTCCCGCTCCATTGTCTGGGAGCTGCGGCCGCGGGCGGGCGGCCGGGCGGGCGGCGGCGGGGAC